TATATTTGTTTGGTGTATGCACGCGATGATTAAGAACATCGGAATTTTAATTAAGACAGTTTGAAAGTTTTGAATTTTTATATGTATTCTTTAGAAAGATGTGTAGTTAATTATTCGATGAACGTTATGTATTTGAATGTATTTTCAGATTAATATGTCATTGTTAGTATAAATTACAAATTATTGCTGTGAATTTTATTTGATAATTGATATATATATATATATGTATATATGGCTTTAAGAAACGTTATTCCTATATCTGGATATTTTTCCTTCCTTCTCTTTCCGCCATATTTTTAACAACAAAATGAACCAAGAATAATAATTTCTTACAATAATAGCTGGTGATGAAATTTACATTTATAAATCGCATTCAATGAAATAATGAGTTTATATTCTGTGAATGCGTTTAGATATACGTTTACATATTGAGAAATATGAACTGAAGGTATAGATAGAAACTATAAATTATAAACTGAATAATTCCATTTCATAATTTCGCGCCGGTTTAAAATTGGCAGAGGCGCCGCTCGATTTGTTGATGCATTCAAATGTCAAGAAATTTGACGTGTCGCGCATCGTGTTATTGTATATCTATCGCTTCCTATTTCGAAAATATGCGTCGCATATAAAAATTCGCGAAATTTCTTTGAATGAATATTTTTCCGAATACCGATCTCGTGACGCAATATAGAAGAAATATATGTCGCATCTCGTAAAAAAAGTCATAAGTCAGTTATGCAAAGATGGCGGATTATGGCGGACGAAAATTATTTGGCAAAGTAAACGTGTTAATATGTTTATTCAAGATTTCTTTGGTATCCAAGATCCAATGTTACGTTATACATTACATATAGGCTTTTAGAAGAAAATAGATATTACTCATAATAGGTAGAAAATTATTGCTGTATCTTAATTTATTTTAACACTGTTAATGTTGAAATCAAGAAATTCCAAAGTGTAAATTCTTTTCATATTCGTTGTGATTATAGGGATATGAATTTTTTTCTATAGCTCAAGCAATTTATATATCCGTATTTTTATATAAGATCTTATGAAAAAAAAATCTTTTTTTTTTTAAAGGAAATTATATAGATAGTCGTATTGAATATGTTCATGAAATGATAGCAAATATAATAGTAGCACCCTTTACACGAGCACTTACTTCGTTTAGTTGTGAATAGTATCAATGTTCCTGTTATTGCAAATGGAACAATTGCAAATGGCACTTCGCAAATGGACTCAATATTATCCATGATACTCCACTCCATAGGATCTCTCGTTTTATTCACTTAAGCATAAGTAACGTTAATTTTTCTTTGATTATGAATAATGATACTAAACTTCCTTTTTCTTCTTTTCTTCTTGTATGATTAGACACTTTAATTCATATTGTTATAAAATAAATTGTCACGTATAAGACAATAATTACAAAAGAAAAAATTGTAAAAATAAGAATTTGATTGATACTTTATAAAAGTTATAAAAATTTAATCATAGGAATGGTTATCGAATTTCTATAAAAAAAATATCAGACATTTGGATCTAAATTTAAGCCTCAAGTCAAGTGGAAACAATCGCAAGCGGTCTGACATTTTACTTCAT